TTTTAATATGGAAACCAAAATAATTTTTGAATCGGGTGATGCAATGTTTCATGAAGAAAAATTTCCTTTTAAATCTAAAAATGGTGGGGGGTCAAAATTATCAAGAAAATATTTTATCTGAAACCGGTTCCTCTACTCCTCTTTTTCAAAACCAAGATACTGTAGTTTTTGAACCTAGAAAGAGTAAAAAAGCTAGATTAGAAAAAGATTTTGGCCCTGATTATCATGTTTTTAATGTAGAGGAAACTCCATTAACTTTACAAGAAGCTTTGGCATCTCCTGACTCTGTTTTTTGGAATGAAGTTGTAAATGATGAAATGGAATCATTATTATCCAATAAAACTTGGGTATTAGTAGATTTACCACCAAGTTGTAAAACTATTGGTTGTAAATGGATTTTGAGGAAAAAACTTAAATCGGATGGAACTATTGATAAATATAAAGCAAGGTTTGTTGCAAAATGTTTTAAACAACAAGCAGATCTTAACTTTTTTGATACATTTTCTCCGATTACAAAAGTTACATCCGTTAGATTATTAATTGCAGTGGCTGCAATTCATGATCTAAAAATTCATCAAATGAATGTTAAAACAACCTTTTTAAATGGAAACCTGGGTGAAGAAATCTATATGGATCAAGCTGAGGTGATTCCTGCATGATTAAGAATGGCTATAAAACGAATGAATATGATAAATACATCTACTATAAATCTGAAGAAAATTCACATGTCATTATTAACCTCTATATGGATGATTTACTTATATTTGGCTCTAATTTGCATATCATCGTGGAAACTAAAAATATGCTTAGTAGTCATTTTGATATGAAAGATCTTGGTGAGGCTAATTATATTTTGGGAATGAAAATTACCAAAACCTGTGATGGTATATTTTTTGATCAGTCGCATTATGTTGAGAAAATTTTGAGAAAATATAATTTTTATAAGTGCAAGCATGTTCTTACTCCTTTTGATCCTTATGTGCGTTTATTTCCTATTGAAAATGATGAGAATATAATTAATCAAAAGGAATATGCTTGTATGATTGGTAGCTTGCGTTATGCGACTGATTGTACTAGACCTGACATTGCCTATACAGTTGGAGTACTTAGCAGGTTTACCAGTAAGCCTAGTAGTGATCACTGGCTAGCCATTGAGCGGATTATGAAATATTTATCTGGTACCATAAAATATGGCTTGTTTTATAATAAGTATCCTATAGTACTTGAAGGTTACAGTGATGCCGATTGGAATACCTTGTCAAGTGATTCATTATCAACCACTAGTTACTTATTTACATTGGGAGGTGGTGCTATAAGTTGGAAATCAAAAAAACAAACCATTATTGCTAATTCAACAATGGAGGCTGAGTTTGTTGCTTTAGGTACAGCTAGTGAAGAAGCAAATTAGTTGCGAGATTTGTTAAATGAAATTTCTTGTTGAGAAAAATCGATTTCACTTATATTGATTCATTGTGATAGTACCGCAGCAATTGGTCGAGTTAATAACCGTTATTATAACGGTAAATCCAGACCTATCAGAAGAAAACACAGTACTGTGAGATCTTATATGAATAACGGCATCATAAATGTGGATTATATTAAATCTGGTGATAATCTTGCAGATCCATTAACTAAGGCCTTAGCAAGAGATAGAGTCTGGAATATATCGAGGGGAATGGGGTTGAAGCCCATTGAATATAGCAGGAGCCATGTATGAGGATACTCAACCCAGGGACCAGAAATCCTGTAACTGGGTTCAATGAGAAAAACGATCATATGATGGCCGTGAGAAATGCACTAAATTACTTGTTACCCATCCCTATGATATAAGTGCATTTATCCGGTAACGTTGTAGAGGTTGAGTTATTAAAAAACTCTTAATGAATTTCTGTAGCTCTTATTGAGTGGGGTGTCATAGTTACAGGAGCACCCTTGACAGAATTCACCTATGCGAGTGTGGTAGTGGGGCCGCTACCTATGAGATTTGGGCTAATTCTCAAACACACTCATGAATCCTGGGATCGCACAAGGCCGTAACGTGCTGGCTTTTAAAGCTTATGTGGACAGCTGAAATATTATGTGTGTGCAATAATTATTTATTTCCCTTAAGTAGTCATAGTTCAATGCTGAGCATACTATTGGCTCTGGAGTAGATATTATTGTTTCACTAATGGAGGTTCAATGCAGAGCACACCTACCATGATGCATAATATCCTTATTTGCCTAATAATCTCAGCTTTTTGTTATCTATAATATTAAAATAGGTGGGGGAATGTTAGCAGATATTTTAATATTATAATGTGTTATTGGTTTGATTTGTTTTCTTCCTCCAAGTTAATCCTTTCTTGATACAAGAATCCTTCAAGTCTTCCAAGTCTTTGCCTAGTCAAGTCTTCTTTTAAGTCTTCCAAGAGTCAAGTCTTATCCTCCAAGCTACTTCCAAGGAGCCTCCAAGCAACGTCCAAAAATCCTCCTCCAAGAAACTTGTCCACCAACCTTTCATCTCCTATAAATTGATCTAACTTCTTATCTTGGAAGTAAGAAGAAGTTTTTGTTGCTTTATTATGTTTTGTTTAAGATTATCAGGCAAATAAAAAAGGGTGTATGTGATAAAGTTTTGGGTTCAACTAATTATGCAGTATTGGTGAACCATACGACTTAGTCGGGCTGTTGTATTCTGGGGGGACAAGTCAAGGTTTTTTCTACTGCACCGGTGTAAGGCTTTGCCTAACCGCAAGAGGGCTTAAATCTCCTTAAAGAGAATGAATTTCACGCGCCTCAACCCTTACAATAGTTATTGTAATTTTTATTATTTGTATTTTTCAGTGTTTTATTTGTAATTATCACCAACAAAAAGGTTATTCTATGCAGCAGGTTGCAAGTCTGACCCTCGTCCTTGTTGTGCACTTTCAATCCCACATGACACGGGCTCATGAGTGACCCTTGGTGTCATGGGGTGTGCATGACCGGTGGCTATTAGCGATGCACATTGATGATTTGCTTATGCATTATTGATCTGTTAATATGCCCTTGGTTAAGGGCAACGGCGTATTAGCACATGATTGGACAATTAGGTTGTGGCATGTGACGTGTAGAATGTTCATTCGTGAGCCAACCAGTGTGGTTTGATGCTTTGATCACATGAATCTCAGTTGTGCGAGTGCCTTGCTTGTGATAACGGCCTATTTTGGGAAGTGAGTTAAAAGTCACTTTTCAACTTTTAACCCACTTCCTTTTCTCACAAAAAAATTAAAAAATTACTTTTAGCCATCTTCTCAAAATACCCCAACATATGGTCTTAATTGTGAAATTTTTTTTTTTTAAAGCAATTTTAATAACACAACCAATGCTTTTTAACCAGTGAAGTCTCCCATGCTCTAGTAAATGACAATAATTCCCATCTTTAATCTAGTTTTAAAATTAGAAGATCATGAAATGATGAACTTAAGATAGAGATCATATTGTATGATGATAAACTTGAATTATATTTAGCTTTACCATAGTTGATAATCATCTCAAAAGCTCTTTCCACTACTTAGATGATTGGTCTGTGTACAGTTAGAAACCATAAGAAATTATATATTTGTGAGATAGGATGTGAACAATCATACAATTAGTTAGTACTATACAAATAAATTTATATAATATTTTTATTTAAAATGATGCGACAGCTATTGTTTTAAAAATAAAATTCAATCATTATCAACTCTAGAATATAATTACCACAAATTATGTATATTATCCACATATAACAAATAAAAAAATTAATTGATCTGATAATTGTAATATATTTAATTTGTTAAAAAAAAAAAAACAAGTGTATGATCTATTATTAAAAATATACTTGTTGTTTATTTATTTATTTTTTTAGACAAATACAATAAATTAAACATGATACGATTATATCAATCTAAAAAAAATTAAATTATATATATAAAAAAATTTATAAAATAAAGAATTTTGATGAAACAGAACCTATATTTTCATGTGAAGCTTTTTTGTTTTTCTTATGTCTTTTAGCCTTTTATCAGCATCAGTGCCAATCAGACACCATTATAACTAAATGGACTTCTTGCCTTTGAGAGAGAGAGAGAGAAGAAAAAGAAGAAACAAAAACTCACGGGTGGCTGACCATAATTCTTTCTTTTTGCAACTTTTTGGCTTTTTCCATGCAACAACAAAATACATTTAAATTTCGTTTGGTTTTAGATTTTTGATTAAAAAAAATTACAAAGAAATTAAATTAGTTACAAAAATTAATAAAATAACATGTCAACTTTAAATTATAATCATCACATTTTTTTTCTTATAAAAGTTAAAAAAATACAAAAAAAATAAACTAAAAAAACCAATACCAAACGAAGACTTAATGAATTTTGATATTTTCTTTCTGTGTTTAGTTATGCAATCATCAAATCCTACTTTACTCGATTTTCATACTCACTGAGAGATAGAGAGAGTACATGGATCACGAGACTCCAATCACCAACTCATCCCCCAAACAAATTAAGCTCTACTCACATGTCTAGGTTTACAAACCGTTAAACACTTGTCTCACATCGATTTTTTAAATTATTCGAACTTTATTTATATATTTTAGAGGCTTCTTTTATTAATCAATTGATTTCGGATTGAATGTCTTCAAAAACATAATATCATTGCTCAGTTTTCAGTGATTTCTTGTGAGCCATTATATGTCCAGATTTATTTCTCTCATATCACCTCTCTCAATTATATGCACATGTGAACGATTAAAAATATTATTTTTTCATCAATTTTATTTAATAAAAATAGACAAAGATTAATATTTAAATTGATAAAATTAAAAACTCAATATCTGTTTTGTTACAAGATTTTTTTTTTGTTGTAATTTTTCCAAAATTATTTTCATCCAAAAGAGAAAAATTTCTATGAATACGATTTTTTATTTTTATTTTTATTTTTATTTTTTATTGACCAAACTAGTTTTGAAAAAACAGATTGTGAAAACAAACCAAACAGGTGAACCTAAACAACCCACAACTCACTGGTCAGTCCTATCCCCTAGGTTAAAAAGAGTTTTTGTATTGTCTTCGCTTCTCTTCATTTCAACTTTTAACCATCACTGCCAACAAGAAACACAGACAATGCAGGACTCAAAACCACTTGTCCTTGAAAACCCAGAAGCTGAATTGGATGATGATTTGACTGGCTTTGACAAGTCTCTCAAGGTTAGTGAGTGCTCTACTCTGTGTCCACATACAACTTCTTTTCTAAAACCCATTAACATGGGGTGTGTGTGTGTGTGTGCGCGCTTTTTTTTTTCATTGTAATCTGTTTATGTTACATTTATCTTCACATTTCATTGTAATCTGTTTATGTTCACATTCACCTTTCAATTTCTTTGTGGTTTATGTATCAGGAGCTTAAAGATTTGTGTTCTCAGCTTCACTACGCTGCCGATTACTGCGAAGCTTCATTCATCAATGCTGAAAGTGTACATAAGAATATGTGAGTAGCCCCTTCTCTACCCTGCAAAATACCCTGTATATGTCTATGTTTCATGGTTTGTTAATTATATGGACGAGTTTAAGTTGATTGTTTTATTACATAATTTAGTTTGACTTGTCTAAAGTTGTCGGTTTAGCACCTCTATTACTATATGATTTTTTTTTTTTTTTTTTTTTTTTTTTTTTGGAACTTTTAAAAGGTTTAAAATGTTTTCCAAAATAAGGTCTTACCAATGCTACCACACAGTCTACCATCACCACCACCACCCATCACTGCCTACCCTCACCACCGCACCAACACTACTACTAGCACTACCACTACTATAACTAGTAACTCATTAGTTTCAAGGTCGTAACTAAAAATAAGAAAACATTTTCTACTGAAAAACATTTCCACCATAACAAACATAGCGCTAGACATCACTTGGGCTTAGTAAGGTACGTTTGGAGATACTGCTACAAATAATCCCATTTCTTACCATTTTTTCTCACTCTCAGATGCAAAGACTTAAGAAAAATTATGTAATGTTCATCTTTAAAATACAGTAACAATAATGCTATGTGCACCAAAAAAAAAACCAATGTGTGTTGGGTGCCCGCACATTGATTTTTCTATACACGTAGTATTTTACGAACACAAAATTCACAAAAAAAGGAAATGTGTGATCCAAATTCATCATGACTTCTATCGCCCAAAGGGGTATCATCCACAAAGGTCTTAACAAATAGCTCAGACTCAGCTCATAGAGATTTTCTTACAATTGAGTCTAAGATTTAAGAAATCTAATTAAGATTATAGTGACATGTTTAGTATCATCAACAGTGAGAATTTGACAAAGCTTTTGATGCTTCATCTGCAGGGTAATGGAGAACACAAAAGAGTACTTATCCAAAGCAGTGGTTACAGTAGTTGATCATCTCGGGAGCGTCGCCGCTAACCTAGATTACCAGATTTCGCAGGACAATTCAGTCTCCGAAACAGAGTTCAGAATTAATGGCTTGAAACAAGTTAGGAACTTTCTGTTTTCTACTTATGCTTTTGCAAAGTGTTTTTTCACATCATTTTTTGATTTATTTGTTTTGGTGTTTAAAAAGAGACTTGTCACATGCCAACAATACAGTCACAAGCTTGCTTTAACAAGACTATGCTGGAATGCAAAATTTCCAAGATTTCATCCCCGATATATATTTCCGCGTAAGCATATATTGATTGTTTCTTCAATTTTTCAATCCAATTTACCAAACTTATGAATTTACTATCAGTTTTTACATATGAAATGCCTGTTTTTTTTTTTTTCAGCAATGCCAGATCTCAAGAGGTCGATAGAAGTTTCAAGGTAAATTTTTTCTTTATCTTCCCAATTTGTATTTTGCTTGTTAATCATAAAATCAATACGTGACAAATGTCAATAGTATTTAATTTAATAGTGAATAGATTATCCATAATAAATAAATATTGAGAAGTCAAATGTGTCCTATATGTGTCCAGAAGCAGGACACATGTGTCAATGATATGTTCCAGCATGTCTAATGAGAAAAAATAAAAATAAAAATAGACACACCATGTGGCATGTCCAATACGTGTCCTAGTATGTTGGTGTCTGACGTGTGTGGAACATGGCTATGACAACTAATTTGAAGTATCCCGTTTCATAGATAATGACAAATAATACACAAAAATGTCTGTTTCAAGGTTAGTAATAAAGTTGGATCAATGCAGGAAATCTGTGACTCAAGTTGCTGCAAAAACTATCAGTTTGAATGAATTTGAGGCAGAGGAGGAAGCGCCTCTTTTCTTATACACTTGCGATCACAAGCCAAATTCAGGTTTGGACACAGTAGATGCCGATTCAGCTTCAGGTAATATGATCAAATTCATCAGAAACTATGTTAGAATTATTTAAAACATTGAATTAGAGTTCATAGTTGGAAGTTGAAAATACCAGAATCGATTTCTCTTAGGAAAATGCTACATATAATCTTATATCTTACTGTATTTTCACACTCCTAGACACGAGTGGATCCCATGTACATTGACTTGTGTCTAAGATTGAGAAAATGAGCTAAGAAAATGGATTATGTATAGCATTGCTCTTTCTCATATCTTCATAACCTATATTATACACACTTTTCTTTTAACAGTATTGCCTGTTCGCGATGGCCTATCCATGCTACCAAAAGCTCGAAATCCTTTCCATTTTGAGGTAAACTAACTCTCTCATCTTTTGCTTCCCTATTAGCTTTTTTTTTTTTTTTTTTTTTTTTTACAATCCTAATTAGCCCTCTGGATATTCACTTTTACTTCACCGTTTTTTATTTATATATATATGGGTTTTGCAGAACACTCGTAAGATCAAACGCACCATTCTAAGTTGGAAATTAAAACATAATAATGATATCTTCTCATTTGGTCGGCGAAGTAAAAGAGCAACGTAAATTATTTGGAGATTGTTAACAGATCAGAAGTAGAGAAGTTCCATTGTAGATGTTTGCTTTTAATCTTTTTTTTCCCCCAAGGAATAGAGATTTGTAATAGTGCTATGTAAGTAGGAAGATTGTTATGACTATGAACATCATGTAATGTAATGAGGTAGGCTTTTAGTTTGATGTGAATTCAACTTGTGTTTTGGGGAAAAGTAGATGTTGGAATTGATGCTCAAAATTGTTTTTGTTTGTGTAGAATTGTTATGCAGAAGAGGAAACATAAATTCTTTACTTTTGTTTGATGAGAATGTTTTCCAGAAAGCACAAAAATTTGTTTGGATAATTGTTTTCAAGAAAATTTTCCAAAAACAACCCACTTTTTGAAGAGCACCAAAAAATTGTTATCAAATTTTCGAAAACAGTTTCGTTCAAACATGAAAATGATAGGTGTTTTTAAACTTTTCATTGTTTTTGTTAAAAAAAACACTAAAAACCAAAAAAATGAAAAAATGAAAACAACCAAACATGATAGGACATGAGGTTCATGGAAAGGCACAAGGTTTCAAAGAGCTTGGAATAATTGAGAAAAAAAGGGGTTCAAAATACACATACTAAAGAATCTCAAAGACAAATCTAAAAAAGATTTCTTAAATATATCAAACCCAACGGATGATTAGTACACTTCCCTATCCAAAATCGGATGGAAGAAGAACAAAAGGAATACTAACTGCATAGACCCCTTAGCGGATCTTTATATTTACATTCTGTTAAGTAAAGCTAAAGGTCTGTGTTTTCTTGTTTAATTGTCCATTTCTCTCATCTTGTGTTTGTGTTTTTTCCTCTTTTTATGCTTCTAAAATTAGCACTATCAAAAGTGGGTTGGACTTCTCAGACCGCCCAAGGTTTCAAGCTTCTCCATGTACGAAAACTTTTTGTTGGTCACAACATCAATAGGTTTGCTCAACTTCTCAATTTCCTCCTTGGACAAATTGTCCAAGTTTCCTGTTGATTGACTTTTCTTCATCTCCGCCTCTCCTTGATCCAAACCCCAACCCATGAAATCTGATAGTGTCATTGACGTTGGCGTCTCTGTAGTGTTTGGCTTTTCTATCTCTTCTGCGCTGCTCGGGGAACTCTCTAGTCCTTCTGCTGGCAAGGAATCCATTGAGGGCTTTCGTTTGGATACCACCAATGATGGATCTTGAGTGAGAGAGTCTGCATAGAGGACATCTTCAATGCGAGACATGACTGTATTTGCCAAGCTTTCAAGTACCCTTGAATAGCTTTCCAGGATAGAATGTCCAACATCCTATATTTTTTAGAGGGGGAAATGTAGAAACGATTGGTTACTTTAATTTGGATATACACATGCACGTAGAAAAAGATCATATTGAAAGTGTTAATTGTTCTTACCTTGTTATATTGGATTTTACTTATGTCGAGCGAGGATTGAGGAAGTCCTGGGAACCGTTGTTTGAGTAGGAGCAAGATGGTCTCAGCTCTCTCTTCAAAGAGCTCCCTCTTCTCTATGCTCACAGCTGAACCCCAAGAAGACTTTCCATCCTTATGGTGCATCTTCCTCTTCCAAATCACGATGGAAGCCTCGATTCTATTCTTTAGGTCAAGAACTTTGTGCTCTGTTGTCATGTCCATGTTTGAGAGGAAGTCTTCAGGATCAAAGAATTCAACTGTAATGTTTTTATATATTGAGTCGCCAAGGCTTGATCTACCATTCTACCGAGTAAAAAATGGAAAAAAAATAGCCAAAATTTAGTAATTACTCAAGTCTCTTGGGACTAATTATTGTGAACTCTTTTGTTCTTATACCTTGGGGAGGGATTCAATGTAGTTATCAGGGATCTCCATTTCCGACAGTATTTGAGCATTGATGGCCATTGATGCTTTGAGTACTTGGTTAACGCATTCCTTCTGAAATTGCATCCATTTCCGCGATGCATCTGATAGCCCATCTGGAGGAACTTTGACGGTAGGTAGCCACCATTTGTCATCTCTTTGGCTTCCTTGCTCAGATTCATTGGCATCTCTTGAGACATACCAGAATTCATTCTGGTCTTTGAAGTTGTCGAGGCAGTCCTGTCAATTATCTTTTTATCAGAACAATAAAAAAATTTACCTGTAAAGAACAACAATCCATTCTAACAAGAAAGATACAATAATACTAGGATCACATAAACAAAACACGAAACGAGACATAGTGTGTATCCATTTCGTGTTTTGTTTTTGTGTTAATTAGTAATACATATTGAAAAAGATATATAAGCGGGAGATTGCTAGCTTTTACAATGAGCATTGCATCAAGCTTGCGCAAGGCGGGGATGTTCATGAGCAAATCTCTTCTTTGTTGTGTCAGCATTATCTGTCAATTTAGGAACTAGCATAAGGAATGTGATATTGTAGAATTATAAATCTAATCAAATTGAGAGAGAGAGAGAGAGAGAGAGAGAGAGATCACCTCCATATTTGTTCCATCCTTGGATTTCTGTTGAGAAGCAACAAACTCAACAATGTAGTCTGTCACCGATAAAAGCCAATCTATTTCTTTTTTCCACCTCGCTTTCCTATCTGCAGACATGGGCTCTAACTTTCGCTGTTCTCCGAAAGCAGAAGCTGTACATATCAGAAAAATGAAGAGAAAATAGCATAAATTGTAACAGAACGATAAGATCACAGTCAAATAATGGAACATAAAAGATGAGTAAATGATTGAAAATTTTGGGGACATTAAATGATAACAATTATAATTCATAATTCTTGTTCTTCAACAATAAACCACTTTGAATGCTGACACAACAAATCTGCTTTGGCTGGTAAGTTTGATTTCTTACCAGCGAGATTTGTAATGGCATTTGACAAAGCCAAAGCGGATGAAACACCCTTTCCACCACCTGACATGTCTTCACCGAGAAGTAGCTTAGCAAACCTTTCCTTCATTAGTTCCATATCTAAGCCAGACAACAAATATGAAAACTCAATCCAAACTCATAAAACTGCTAAAAATAATCATTGGGTTTTCATGATTATGGGATAATTGGATCAATACAATGGATAAAAAAATTTTAAAAAAAATTAGAAATTGTTGATAATATGATGGAAATACCTGAGGGTTGCCGGTCCTTGCCTTGTGAACCGCCTCCTTTGGCTCCCTCCTTGCTCAAGCGCGAAATTGGACTCTTATCACTGGATGGACTGAATGTTGATCCTATTGATTGTACCGGTGAAGGCTTTCCACCTTGACTATAAAATTGCTTCCCCTCAATGTCATCTCCATTTTTTGTACCTTCAAATATTAAACTTTGCGCCTGCCGTTCTGGTACCTCTAACATCTTTTTTTAAAAGTGAAAAGAACTCAACTTCTAAATGCAACGTTCTTCTCTAATAACCATTGTACATCAATTTCATTCCTATGAAATGTAAATACATGCTTTTGTATATCAAGAATGTAGCAAAGAAAGTATGAAAATGGCAATGATGAGCTACTTTTCTACCCCACCAAAAAAAAATTAATTCAATCTAATATTTCTAAAAGTGAGAAAGGGAAATTAAGAAAAACCCTTCTCCAGAATGAGAGGTTGGAGATGGATAGGGGAAAAAAGTTTTTCTGAATTTCCTGAGTTTGAGAGAGAGAGAGAGAGAGAGAGGAGGGAGTTTGGGTAGTTTTTGCAATTTACTTTTTTTAGGAATGGAATGTGAGGTGATAGTTTGATTGGGAGAAAGGGAGGGGTTAGTATAAAGAGAGGAGGATCCTTTCCCCGGAAATTTCTCTATTTTGTGTTTAGAGATTTTTATTAGGGCTGAGTAAGGAATCCGTGAAATCCGTAATCCGATTTAGTCCAGTCCAATCTAGTAGTTTGGATTGATTTTTTGAATCCGTGGTTCGGTTCCGGATTGAAAAATTAAAAATTCGTAGTACACGGATTGGTTCCAGATTGAATCCCACGGTTCCAGATTGGAACCGATCCGGACCGTATACAAATAGTCTATATTTTTGTTATACACCCTCCTACATAAAAACTTAAATCCAAACCTAAACTTGCATAGTATCTTCTTTTATTACTTTTGTTTGCTAGTTTTTAATGTTAATTTGTAATGGTCTAAATACTTATGGTAGAACTAGTTTCTTTATGGTTATTTAAATTTTAGAACAGTTTGTCACTATTATGAAAAGATATATTGCTATTGTGAAACTAATATGGTGCTATATTTATATTTTTATGAAAATAAAGTGTTATATATATATTTTTGTTATTTAATTATATAAATCCGTGGTCCTAAACCGATCCAATCCGTATTTAAATGGATTGGTTCGGATTGGTTCCACGATTTAAACGGATTGAATTGGTTCTAATTTTTCAGGATCCGTAGATAACGGATTGGTCCTGGTTTTACTCCAATCCGGTCCAATCCGGACCATGCTCACCCCTAATTTTTATCACACTGCGGCTAAATGCGTAGGTACATAGGAATAAAAAACATTGGAACAGAAGATTCCGGGCCAAAAAAGAATCAGCGTGTTTGGTTTGAGTTTTCCGGATTAAGTTTTTTGAAAATTGAGTTTTTTAGTTTTCGTATTTTTTTGTTTTTAGTGAATATTTTTAAAATTTTAAGCATTTTTTTTTTACTTTTTTATATGCATTTTACTTAGATGTATCTAAAAAGTAAAAAAATTGTGAAAAAATATTTTTAAAAAATTAATAAATACATAAAAATACAAAAAAATATACTGAATTCTTATATTTTTTTATATTTTTGGTATTTAGTGAATTTTTAAAATATTTTTTTATAATTTTTTTACTTTTAGATGTATTTATGTTTGGTGTGTCTAAAAAATAAAAAAAAATTACTTAAATTATTAAAAAAATTTAGTAAAAACAAAAACAAATCCAAAAAATAAGAAAATAAAATTTTTTAAAAAGTGTTTTTAAAAAAATGGAACCAAGCTAATATGCAAAACAAAGAGGATTTTTTGTTGGATTTGCCATGAACACTGAATGGTTAGATTTTTCAATGCTTGCAAAAAGTCCGGGAAATACCTAAAATCCTCTCTCTCTCTCTTACAAATAACTGCTCTTTGTCATGGACATATAACTAACTTTCGCTGCCAAGCACCATTTCACCTTTATTATTCTACTCTTCTTATCGAATTACAAAAATGCCCACAAAATTTAATTAAAAACTAGAGATACAAGGATCTTCCTCACAAAACACGATTTTTGTTGCTTGAATGCTCTTGATTACCACATAGCCAACATGTGTGTCAATTCTTAAAATTATAAAAAAAATAAATGAATAAATAAATAAATAAAAAGAGTTGTAAATTTGAATTTTAGGATGATCGGTTACAACAATAAAAAGGAAGTATACTCACACTCCTTTTTAGCATCTCAATCTTTTTTTCTTTATTTTTGTCATTTATGTGTTTTCAAGTTTCTTTAAAACTAGAAGAAATTTGATTTCAAAATCATAGGTTCTTTTGATTTTGGAATTGCTCTTAGTTTTTATTTTTAACAATTCTGCATTGATTGATTAACTCATTAATGTGCAACATATAAGTTAATGAATGAAATTTGTAAAAGCTTATAAGACTCAATTTGAGATTTAATAATTTTGAGTCATCGCCTTTTTTTTGGTGGGGTTGGGTCAAGCTATGACTCAAATCTATTTCAAGAGAACGCATGCAAATATCCCGTGTTATATTTCTTCTACATTGTCAGGTCTGTTTAGACTCTCTTATTTAGTTCTAACTAGGTAAGAGTTTTTATGATCTTGCTGAGAGGATTTTATTTTTTTTCCTATAAACTTAGTCATCGGTCGACTACAGTTTGGAAACATGATTAGTGTACAACAAAATGAGCATACAAGCACTTTAAGCATAGATTATATGTTTCCTTCTTTTAACATTCTCCCTTGTCCAATTTAACATGGGGAAAGTTAGTAAATAACATTTGCAGATGATGACCAACGCCCTCCTATTTTTAACAAGTAGATTAATTTGCCTTCTTGAAAACACTAGTTATGGAGATCCAATTACAAATTTTGGACTTGTTTGGTTTGTATCTCAAAATATAATTTTTGAAAAAAAATTTCAAAATTTTGTTTGGTTCAAATTTTATAAAAAATCCAAAATCATTTTCTTTCCTACACATTAATCAATTACTTTTTCTCTCCCATCTCTCATTCTCAATTACTTTTTCTCTCACACACATCTACTCAACTACAACAAAATATCAAATCATCTCAAACTCTCAAATTCTAAAACTATTTTCAAAATAGAAAATGTTTGAGGGCCACAATTTTTGTAGTCACAATGGCTCAAAACTGTTAAAACGACGTCGTTTTGAGTGTAAAACATGCCAAAACGACGTCGTTTTGGCAGTTTTGAGCCATTGTGGCCACAAAAATTGTGGCCTTTTAACACTGTTGTTTCAAAATATACAATCAAACAAATCAAAAAAAAATTCTAAACTCTCTCTTCAAAATTTTTTTTAAAAATTTATCTCAAAACACAAACCAAACACACCCTTGAATTTTTAGTTTGTTAGTTCTCTCTCTCTCTCTCTCTCTCTCGATTTTGATATGTTTAAAAAATCAATTACAGAATCAGACACAATTCCCTCCGGACTTAAGATATAGTACTTGTTTGGCATGTACTAAAAAAGTGTACTTTTTTGCATACATACACTTATTTGGGTTACATCAATCAACATCTGTCAGCATCTCCTCTCTACTTTTCTATCAAATTTCTTTATTTTTTTACATATTTTTTTTTTATAAAAAGTCAAAAAATGCACTTATTTAGAACATCCCCTACAATGCCTTTGCGAGCTAATCTTGAAACCATTTTCATAATATGAATCATTCATTTTTATAGGTTTTGCCAGGTAAATTATCCATATAAAAAATCATATATCAAATTATATTTATCTTTAAAATGAATGACTAATGTGATTTTGAGATTTGACTACATATATTTTTTTAAATAAATATGATTCAATTACGTAGTTATAAATATCTAATTAATCTAAATTGTTATATGAATGATTTACTAAATAAATTTAACTAGTTAAACAATTCAGATCATGAAAATACAGGTTCAAATCATGAAAATAAAGTTGGGAGTGAGCCCTTCAAAAGTCATAGTAGCCCTCTAGACGCAACAAACAAGCCCTCTTCCACTCTAGGGGCGTAGTAGCCCTCTAGACACAACGGGCAAGCCCTCTTCCACTCTCTTACATCAAGTGGATTTCACCTTTTGGGGAATTCCATACTCGTGTGACACGATCGTAACCGATTGTGTAATTAATTTATGTGGAAGTAGGAGAACTATTTGGTTCTTAGCTAAGGTGTTCTTTTTTTTTATTATTATTCTTCTTAAACTGTCTAGGCCCAATTTGGAAATTCATTTTTTTGTTTTTTTTTTTTTGCATGACTTTTTATTTCCATATATACATACTAGCATATATCCGTATCTGAAGGTACGGTATAAATAATGTTAGGATAAGAATATAATTGTAATCTCAACAATATTTAAATTTATTTTTTAATTTGATAAAATCACAAATTTGTTATAAAATTTTGGAGTTCTCACAAAACTCCTCACGAAAACTGGTTTTTGCGTATATAATATATAGTTAGATAGATAGATGTGTCTAACATATATACAATTTTCATACGCATACATATAATATTGCATTTGCTTATATAATTATATGGAGATTGTATGTATGTCCATAATATCTTAGTGTATTATGGGCATACGTACATTGTATAGAAATATATATAAAATATATTGAACAAAAAAGAGAAAATAAAAAAAATAACAAATAGAGAAAAAAAATAAAAACGAGAGAAAATGAAAAAATAAATAGAAAAGAGAGAAAAATGTAGGATCATGGGATCATAGGATCATAGGAGGATGGGTGAGAAAAGAAAAAAGTAAAAGAGAGAGAGCAGGAAAGTATAAAATGTAAATGTAGAATATTTTTTAAAAAAATATATCTCAGCCATTGTTTTATAATTTGAATAAATCTGAGTCATCCAAATGTCCTAATAGAACAAAAATATGTTGAAGATTTAAAAATCGTCATGCTTTATTAAAATATGTTGAACATTCATATAAGGTCTAAATTTGTGAAGTCTATTAGGTATTTAATATATTTAAAAATAATAATTAATTGTTCAAATTCATTTAATTTGTAGACTATAAAATTCATTAATTTAATTTCCACTACACACAGTAAAATCTGGCTCCTAATTCTAGGATTGTAGACTTTTCCATATAATATGAATAAAAAAAAAGTGAACAAAAATAAGAAAATAAAAAATAAATAAATAGAGAGAAAAATAAAAATGGAGAAAATAAAAAAAAAATAAAAAGAAAAGAGAGAGAAAGGTGAGATCTTGGGATTATGGAAGGATAGATGAGAAAACGAAAAAGTAAGAGAGAGAAGCGGGAAAATAAAAAAATGTATATGTAGGTTATTTTTTAGAAAATATATCTCAATCGTTGTTTCATAATTTGCATAGATCTAAGCCGCCCAAATGTCCTAGTAGGACAAATGTGTGTAAGACAAATTCAAAAATCATCCTGCTTTATTATATAAATATGATACATTAAAATATGTAATATATATAAATATAAAAAAAAATGTTTGAAAATATGTAAAATGTGTATTGAAAATTTTAACTTTTTTAGTATTGAATCACACACCTATTATGATACAGGAACACATGA